AGTTATATATGCATACTCTAGGGGAGGCAATGGTCGTCGTGCTACAGTCCTCTATGGTAGTTAAATATATACTGTAGGTGAAGCAATTTTCGTGGTACATTCCTCTATGGTACTCTAGGGGAGGCAATGATCGTTTTACAATCCTCTGTGGTAGTTATATATATACTGTAGGGGAGGCAATGATCGTGCTACATTCCTCTATGGTAGTTATATATACACTCTAGGGGAGCCAATTATCGTGCTACAGTCCTCTATAGTAGTTATATATATACTCTAGGATAGGGAATTATCGTGCTACATTCCTCTATGGTAGTTATATACATACTCTAGGGGAGGCAATGATCGTACTACAGTCCTCTATGGTAGTTATATATATACTCTAGGGGAGACAATGCTCGTGCTACAGTCCTCTATGGTAGCTATATATATACTCTAGGATAGGCAATTATCGTCCTACATTCCTCCATGGTTGTTATATATATACTCTAGGGGAGGCAATGGTCGTCGTGCTACAGTCCTCTATGGTAGTTATATATATACTCTAGGGGAGGCAATGCTCGTGCTACAGTCCTCTATGGTAGTTATATATACTCTAGGGGAGGCAATGATCGTGCTCCAGTCCTCTTTGATAGTTATAAATATACTTGAAGAAGGGAGGCAATTATCGTGGTAGTCCTCTATGGTAGTTATATATATACTCTAGGGGAGGCAATGATTGTGCTATTGTCCCTGTGGTAATTATATATATATACTCTAGGGGAGGCAAAGATCGTGCTACAGTCCTCTATGGTAGTTGATTATGAGTGTCGGGAATAGCTCAGACAACGTTGTGTAATTGATTACGTATATCGGGGATACCAAGGCAAATCCAGGGTTAAGTAGATTTAATCTTAAAGTCTCAAATGACGTTCTATTCTGTGGGGCTTATGGACCCGTGAATATCGGCTAGCTTTATTTGCTAGCTTTGATTATAAGTATCGGGAATAGCTCGGACAACAGCTCGGACAACACGGTGTAATGATTACGTATATCAGGGAATAGCTTTGAATCCAGGTTTCCTAGGTATGATCTTCAAGTCTCGACTGACCATCGATGCACGCGGCAATAGATTATAACGGGGTATAAATATAACCTCGAAAGGGGGTAGAGGGAGCAGAGCAAGGGACAGCTAGAGAAGAGGCCAGAAGGGCTAGGGACAGCTAGAGATGGGCTAGAACTAGTACAGGTAGAGACAGCTCGGAGACGACTGAGAGCGAGACCAAACGATAGAGACCGATCCTAATACTTGAGGTTACCAGAATAAACCTTTAACCAACCATCAACCCTTGTCACTCGTGTTGTGTTACATGAGCTGATTTGGTGCCAGTGACCAAGGATTTGAACGAGACACAACGCAGCAACAAAAACGAAAAGGTAGGTGATTTTGGTTTTATGTTTGACCCTAAGTAGCTCTCAAAATGGCAAGCGTCGATCCAGTACCATTATTTCATGAACTTAATCTGCAATTGACTAGAATATTTTCTATGCTTGGGGTGCAGGGGATAGCACAGGTAATTAAACCTTATTCAGGGGAACCTTCATTGTTTAAAGCATGTAAGTTGTAAGGGACTGCATAAGTAAACAATGGAGAAATATGGGACGGGATAAACAATAGAGAAATATGGGACGAGATAAACAATAGAGAAATATGGGACGGTATAAACAATACAGGGATATAAGGAGGGGTGAAAAAAAGAAGTTTACAATTATAACGGAGATATTAGGAAATTATATTTTTAATTTGAAAACTTGAAGGTTAGCATATGTGCAATTAAGTATAAACCACACTTCCATTTTTAAAATGTTATAAACAGACAAACAGGTATATGTAACGGCAGTAACGATACTTACATTTATGATAAGGGGAGAGAATCAATAGAAGTTAATCATTTTTAGGCTATCAAAAAGTTGTTACTTATGTAAACAGGGACACGTAGCGAGAATATGTCAGAAACATATAGAGACACCACTGACAGGTCAACAAGGTCAAAATAATTAAATTCTTTATAATTCTGAAAACAAACATGTACAGTATAATTGTGTTAGGAGGTGAGAATAACAGATAAAGTGTAGCAGAACCATATAGGACTCAGTGGCACGAGTATTCATTATTGAATGATATTTAAATCATTGTTTCTTAAAGTTTTGTATTTATATAATTCAGCGAATCTTAAAATTCAATAATACATTTTTATTAGGTAATATTAATGACGGAATTACAATAATTCAAATTGTGTTTTTCTATAACTCAAGTTTTGAGAAAACAATGCACTTTACATAATTACAACACTATAATATCAGTTTTATGGTCAATTAAACTAAAATAAAAAAAAAATGTATGTGAGTATTAATTTGTTTAATGGGAGTGGGTAATGGGGTCACATACAAGGACGATAATAGAAAAGAGACAACTTGGGAAACTACATTTTTAAGTACATAAATGGATTTTTAAAAGCCTTAATAGTTCTAATGACAGATAGGAGAAGAGAGAAAAATCTGTTGGGTCTTTAGAGGTGTGAAGTGTATCAAAGTCCAAGTATATGTCAGTAAAGTTATCAAGGACATAGGAATAGGGTTAACAACCTAAAAGGTAAAATAAAAACACACTCCTGAAGGCTGGGAGATGTTATTGGAGGCAATGGCAGATGTTTTCTGGGGTCAGGAAAAACAAAAACTGAGTGCCAAATTAGGTAAAAGACTAACAATCAGCGGGGTAATTCTTACATTTCTTTTTCCGGCTTTTGTACTTTTTCGGTTCCCCAAGGATTTAGAAATAGGATAGAATCATAGGATAAGGGATAGTTATTTTTACTACTTACGTTTATAAGAGGTATGGGTTCGGGGAGTTATGTAAGGATTGGCTAGTCATGAGAGAGCGAAAAAGGTCAGGTAAGCCAATCACCGAACCTCGCTTTAAAATGGTAACAGTGGCTGAAAAGGGAGTGGACTCCAGTTTAAGGATGAGAATCCGGGACCCACTTTCCATTCAACAGCAGGCCGAGGAACATCATACATGTACATAAGGAAGAACCTATGAAACAGGCACCGGAGGTGGACTTCATTTTAAGGAAGATATTCCGGAACCCACTTTCCACATAAGACAAGCAAGTTGATTTTCATAGAACGTCTTATTCTAGAACTGTCGATTTCCACAATGGGTAAAGACCCAGGAACCACAATTTGCAGATGCTGGGGGTGGTCTTCAGCAAACGGATGAGTATCCGAGACCAACTTTCCAATAAGCAGCAGATTGAGGAGCAGAAGATGGCTATATAGTGATTGCCATATCTCTGAAGAAGACATCGGGGGTGGACTTCATTTTAAGGATGAAATTCTGGAATCCACTTTCCAATGGCAGCGCAATACTGGGGGTAGTCTACAACCAACGGATGAGGATCCGAGACTTAACCTTCCTATTAGAAGCAGAACGAGGAACATGAAGATACAGCCATCAGAGATGTAGTTCAACTTGAGAAAGAAATTCTGGAACCCACTTTCCGCATAAGACAAGAAAGTTGGTTTTGATTTTCATGGAACGTCTTATTTTAGAAACTTTGGGTTTCTAGCGGACAACGGGAGTGGACTTCAACTTAAGGATGAGAGTCCCGAATCCACTTTCCACATAGACAGTGAGGCTAATTTTCCAAGGAAATTATATTGTAAAGAACTGTGTTAAAGATACCGAGAACAATGCGCGCGTGTTGGAGGTGGATTTCTACAAAGGGTGAGGACCTGGAAACCACCATTCCGCGATGACGAACTTTGCGAGTTATATGTGTGTACAAATATGACAATCATGATTTTATTTTATTTTGTTTCATTTTTCCTAGGATATTATCTATGTGTGTGCACGAACTATTGACCTAATGAACATTGTTATGTGAACTTAGTTTGTCAGATGACCAACTGACTTGTATATATTCCTATAATCGCATGGATCCTTTTATGACAATGCTAACATTTATCGATGATTTTTAATGATATCACAGAAGTGATTGTATGTATATATTATAAGTGGAAACACAACTCGCAATAAAATTCTAAAGTTGCCAAACAACAGAGAAACTCCAATTTCTTCCTACATGAAGATCGCCAGCTCGCTTACAACCGGGCCGACAAGAGTGAAAAATATTAGTTGTATATTTGTATAATTTGTTTCATAACTCTTGTTAAATGGATACAGTTTATACATGTAGTATATGATATTCCAGGGTTTCAACTACTAGTATTTGGTAAGTTTAGAATCTTACCTCGAGTGTTGAGATATCCCTCCCCACCGGGAATAGTTTTCTCTTATTCTGTTGGCCCTTCCTAAATAGACATATATGAACTGTTGGTGTTGTGTTGATGCATTGTTGAGATTTTCAGCTAAATAAAAATAAAAAAAATCCCCGGAACGAAATCATATAAATTTACTATGTCAGTACAACAGATGTTTTATGCCGGGTTTGTACATGCTGTCGGCACATCACAATTGGCCGAAAAGGCACAAATGCAAAATGGCGGATAAACGTTACAAGAAATAGACGTGGATTTAGCCTTTACTTGAAGGATACGGCAACTTTGTCTGACAATGTTGAAGTAATTTTCAGATTCTTCAGCGGAGCAGATGTTCAGTAAACAATTTTGTATTTGTTCTTAAGACAACGTAAACAAACCCACCATTGACACCTCTTCATTAGGGGTCATAGTGCCTGCCGCAATATCTTCTTGTCCAAACTGGTAGTAGATATATCTTGCTGACTGACACGTTCCGTTATTGCGTCAGCATTGGCAGGGTTCAACCTTGTCATCGGCACGAATGGCGTACAAGATTGAAGTTACCCCATAGCTTTTTAGAAATCAGCTGAATACACATTAAATGGTTGGAAAAAAGATCCAGTTCAGTTACAAAACACATCTTTCTTTTATTGTTTATTTGATGATAATTTTTGACATATTCTTAAACTTAAAACAACATATATAAGGCAGGTTGGAGAATTTTAATAGTTTAAAATGTCATGACAAACCAAAATTAAAATATGTATTTTTGTTTCCATGTTGAGGCTTCTTTTATCAAATCGTACCTGTATAAAAGAAACGATAAACAAATTATAATGCTACATTTATTTATATTTAAAACTATCCTTTAAAATTGTAAGAGAGATTTCCAGAAAAATATATCATGAACAGTGGTACAATGTATCAAACTATACAACAAAGTAACAAGTTACATTACAGTCATATGTGTACACGTGTATACCACTGATCCTCCCTAGAAAACGGCTTTTCTATCATTGAATACACATACACGATATATACACTTAAATGAACTAGATTGTGTACTTTACTGGACATAGCCATTATGGATGCCAACTGGAACTGACAAATTGAAAATGAAGCGTTATAAAATCCTATCGTTCAGTAAAATGCATGTTATTTAGAAGGAACACATCTGCAGGAAAGGAATAACACAACATTTCCATGGCAGTGACAATTGTAATAATATATTAACTTAGTGGTACTATATACCTTTAGTAAGGAATCGATCATCTGTCTTTGTCGTGTTATTAGCCGCGGTAAAGTGGACAGCACTTCAGCCCTGGCTGGTAATCACACTGTCCACTGCGCCTCTCACCAGGACTACACTGCCAGGTTTGACTGCACCGACATCCAGATCCAAACTGACCTAAAAGAAAAGGAAGAACATTTCATGCGAAGACAAGAACCTTGTGTATCTGAATGCACTGTAGTATCAATAATAACCGTAAAGCAGGACCAAGGTGAGATACAGATATGGTGATATAATGTGTCCAGTATTTCTACTACTATAATGAATCTTTGATACCAGCTGTAGCATTTATTCTGCAATCCTTGATGTATATAGACGTTGGTATCTTTTCCTTAACGACATTTAAAGAGATGGATGAACAATATTTAGTTAAAAAGAGGTAGAAAAAAACAACAACTTAACACTGGATCGGAAACAATAAATAATAAAGAAATATAGGAACAGATTACACTATTGTGACGTCACAAATCCTGTCGTGACTGCAGTAATGTTTCATTTCCAAAAACTGCACGAACTTACGCTAGAAGCGTAAAATAGCTAAACAAATCATAACTAGCCAATAAACATGCACATGTTAATATATACAATGGATTTTTTAGACAGCTGTTTTCTGGTCCTAAGAAAACACAATCATATTGCTGACACACGCAATAATACTAGAGAACGCTTCATCATAGTTTGTCGACAATACCATTACGTTTATAAGCCATAACTCATTCACATATCCATCGCTTAAGTCAACTCTTCCTAAAGTCGTTTATAATTTTTTTTATAAAAAGAGGTACTTACACAAAATATTTTTTTTTGTGCTTCACAAAATAATCATAGCGTAAATCATGTTGCGTCTCTTTCAATTGCTTTAAAAGGTGTAGTTATATTCAAATAGTACCGATTATAAATAAAGGAAACTAAGATTATGAATACGTATATTTTACAAAACTGATCAAATACTTAGTAAGGTTTATTACTCGTTAATACACTAAAAATTGATAATGACCTATTTTATAATTATTTTGTTTTTGAAATCAGATTCACAGTTACGTCAAGCTAAGTAGTCTGATAAACCTGAATGGATTGAATACCATAAAATATGGAAATGAAAGTCCAATACTCACCGCTTACTGGGGGTACACCAAGGCACATCAGACCTACGGTCACCAAGAGGATTGCGAGTACAAGTTTGTTGTTCATCATTGACTAGGTAATGTCTCAACGAACACCAATGGTCACATTCACAGCGATACGAATATTTATATGGTAAGTAAACATGTTCGTCATCAATCAAATGGAGCATGATGCATCCTTTACATCATTCTACAACGTCAAAGGCATGTCCTTTATCAAAATATGTCGTCAAATCGTTAATTATCGTAATGTTTATCGTATACATCATTGTCATTTACTTTTATCCTTTATGTTGTAGTCATACCATATCATTAATCAAATATTGAAAAAAACAAAATAACAAAAATAAAATCCCATGTATCTTCCTTCTGCCATTTTTAATAACAATTTATGTAAATTAACTACATGTATTTATCGTATTATAACGTTGTCTTCTATCTTGATTTAGTGATAATAAACCCTGTTAAACTGTAAATATCAGCAATGTCCTTTTGATTTTAGACTAACAAAATAATTCTGGAAGATAATATTGATTTATGTTTTACTTGCTTTGTCAACTCACAATATGGTCATAACTAATTTATGCAAAGTTAATCTCAAACCAAAACTATGTTTATGATTTTTTTTTGGTCCATGACAGAGCCTGTTGCTGTTGTTATTTGAATCTTTACAACGCAAACATTTCAATTTTGTACACATTTTTTAGTAATAGTAAAATCAAAAGTTTACAATTTATTTTTGATAAATATATTGTATGTAATCTGTGCTTATGTCAAACTGGAATATATTGAAAATAGGTTTTATTCTGGCAATATTAAAACATACATAACCTAAACAAATGTTTGATATAGTCAACTATATATTATGCAATTGACAGCTTATTTAAGGATCCCTGCACCATGTCCTATATAGAGTAACCTCCCCTTAACTTCCGTTTTGATATAACTGAAACACAGTTGGACCAAGACACTTATGTTGACCAAGTACATGTAGCTCAGTCGGTTAGAGGGATCGTATATCAAACTGAAGTCCGGAGTTTGAAATCCGGTCTGGGACATGGACTTCTTTTATTCAGAACACTGTTGTTGATTATATTTTGTTTAATTGATCTTTATTATTTCTCACAATTGTCGAGAAAGATAAGGTTTTCTTTTCAGAAATGGTTAATCAAAGCTATGGTCGAGCCGTACAAATCAGTTTCCAACACTGAGTTACATTTATCAGAAGTACAAATGTAGAACGGCAATCCTTCTGTGATGTCATTGATATCTTTACACATTTTCAAACAAATGAAGTATGTATCTTTTGCTCATCAACGACTTTCTCTGTAGATAAATTAAAGGGTGACAGCATCACAGGTGGCGTTTAGTTTTGTCGGCCATTACATTAACACGTGTACAGGAAAAATGGAAAAAAGTTTGATATATAATTTTGAAATATACATTTATCTTTTTATTTACAATCTGTTTATATATTACATGTATATACAGACACATACGAAGAAGACAACAACTCGACATGTCAGTTATGTCAACCTGACATTGCTTGTGTGATTGGGTGTGGTTTTGTTTGGTGAATGTAAAGTTTGAATCTGTGACCTATGACTGAGTCAGCAGTACGTTGGTGACATCAATCAGTTTTAGAGTCTCAGGATAGACACGTATATCAACACTAATTTGCAACATTACAAACTGTATCATTTGGTTTTTAATGTTCGTGCTTATAAAGGAATTAGATACAATTATTATTAACAACATATCCTCAATACCTACATGAAAAAAACCCAGTACATAAAAATATAACTTTTATCAATTTTGTCAAAAGCATGTCTAACGATTTTTTTTCGAATACGTGATCATTTTATAAATAGTCATATTTATAAAAATAATATAGTTTATGTTTCTAAGAGTCGTTTTTTTAATTTTAATTTTTGAAGTACGTGTGTAATAGTATAAGGTTGAAACTGTTAAATACTGGTTGGATTCATATTATAATAAAACTATTATAATGATGCTATTGATGTAAACCAATATTATGCTATTGACATTATTTTACCATTTTACAAACATAACATATGATAATGTTATTGCTTAAGTATGATTTTATAACTATTTTATAACATTATACTTATATAAATGCTAAAATGAGACTTATCTATAACATAAGTATCCATCCGAACAATGGCAATAATAGCCAAATATTAATACTTGATATCTTTCGAAACACGTGAATTGATTCAAGATTGCGCAATGTTTGGTATTTGCTGTGCCATACATAGCGAACTTCACGGTGACGATGTCTTTCTGCAATATCCTTCAAAACTGACAACTGTACGTCATGGACAATTCGCACCTGCGACAATGTTTCTTAACTCCCTACTACATCAACATACATGATCAATTTCTAATACCAGATGTAGTAATAATCATTTGATCAACAACACATGTTATAACATTTGTTTATGGATAAGGTAATTATGCTTACTGTAAAGTAAACATTCTTGCGGGCTGATATTTTAGCATTGTGACTTTTAAAACCTCTCACGGTGTGGAAATGTTTGTGTCGGCAACGTTTCTTAAATATTGATATATCATACAAACATGAGTCTATAGTTTATATAATCTATGAATGAATGTTTTCGGTAGATATTACTCAAAAAGAAAAACGCGAGATTTTCCACGCCGCAAAAAATCCACTTTGACAGTATTTATACGGCAGATGTAAAACACGTACTCTTACGCTTGTTAATTGGAAATTAAAATACGCGTGTTATGTTAATGTATTCAGTATTTTTGCCCATTGATCAATGTTTGCGGCTGATGGAGGGGCTATCTGACATGACAACTCTTAACTTGGTTCAGTATGACCTCCGCATGACAGAGACATGAATGTGCAGAAAATTAATATAACAACTACATTGTATAAAAAATAAGTATTATTCACACATGTTTTACAATCGTATTTGATGGGGCAGTTCTATACATGGTAGCACGTTGTTAACTGTTTTTTTAGAATTAACCAGGAAACAAATCGGGATTATAATTGTTTCACTGATGTTGTCATTAAGCAGACACCAATCTGTGTTGGGTTCATTTCCTCGTTCGTTATTGATAGCAGTTTTAAGTCGTTTCACTTAAGGATCCCTGTCCCATAATATGCAAAACACAAAATATACAGTTACGCCCACTAATTTCGGTTTAGATATATCTGTAGCGCGACTTAACAAGGGTACTTTTGTTGACAAGGTCACGTAGTAGATAAGTCCGAAAATTGATTATCAAAGCTGAAAGTAAGTCCGGGAAATCGTTTTAAGTGCACGATTCTTAGCATGGTAAAATATAGTGAAATTGTGTGTGCATTGTATAGGTCTGGAATAGTTTGAAAATATTGGTCGACCATTGGATTTTTTTTTCTTTTTTTCTTTCTTTTACGTCCTTTTAACAGCTATGGCCATTTAAGGATGTGCCAGGTTTCGGTGGTGGAGGAAAGCCGGAGTTCCCGAGGAAAAAACACCGACCAGCGGCCAGTACCTGGAAACTTCCCCACGTAGGTCTCGAGCCCGCGACCAAGTGATGGATGGCTAGTGGTGGCAGAATGTCAGACGCCTTAACCAATTGGTCACCGTGGTCCCTTTCGGCCGTTGGACCTGACTGATTTGATTTAAGGATAAATCACAATTTCAATTATTCGAATGTAAACATATTTTTAAGCGATTGTTTCGATTATTTACTTTACATTAAAAAGAAACACAGTAAAGGTCGATACATATTCATAATTCCAAATAACAAATGTAGAATAGTTGTCAAAATTTTCCTTTCTTTTTAAAGACGGGTATTTTGGGGTGCAGTCTGTTGCAACACTGAAGATGAATGTCATGTTAACATGAAAATAATATTAGGTTTTAAGAAAATATTTTTTCGTTATGATCGATTCTGTCTGAGCTTGGTATTGCATTCATTTTGATTTTAGTTTAATTCCATTTTTCAAGGAATAGTCAGGTGAGATGTGTTTACAATGTATTTGTCCTCGAGGAGCCATTTGGTAATTACAAACACAGTTTATAAAAAGGGGCATAGCAATATATATTGAGATTTTACTTGTTTGTAAATATATAGAGTCTGCCGCAATGGCTCTCCAGCTCAAGATCGGTACCAGAGTTATTGAGACTGTCCCAGCCGTTTAAAACCTAGGGGTATATTTTGATGATTCACTGAACATGGAGAAACATGTGAACGCTATTGCCAAATCCTGTTACTACCAGATCAGGAACATCGGCTGTATTCGGCAGTTTATAACTGAAGATGCATGCAAGATTTTGGTGCATATGGTTACACGCTGCTCTGTGGTGTATCTGACACACTAACTAATCGTCTGCAGAGGGCCATGAACACTGCAGCACGGCTGGTTATTCGTATTCGAAAGAAAGAGCACATCACACCTGTGCTTTATTCATTGCAATGGCTACCTGTCTAAAATCCATCATTTAGAATATGTAAAGGCCATCATTAGGAACATTAAAAGGTCGTCAGTGAGAACATGTAAAGAGCGTCAGTTAGAACATGTTAATGCCATCATAAAGAACATATAAAGGCCATCATTTAGAACATGTTAAGGCCGTTATCAAGAACATGTAAAGGCCATCATCACGAACATGTTAATGCCATCATTTAGACCATGTCGATGCCATCATTATGAACATGTAAAGGTCGTCATCACGAGCATGTTACGACTATCATAAAGAACATGTAACGACCACAATTAAGAACATGTACAGGCCATCATCACGAGCATGTTACGACTATCATAAAGAACATGTAACGACCACCATTAAGAACATGTAAAGGCCATCATTAGGAACATGTTAATGCCATCATTAAAGGCCATCATTAGGAACATTTAAAGGTCGTCAGTTAGAACATGTGAAGGCTGTCAGTTAGAACATGTAAAGGCCATCATTAAGAACATGTTCAGGCCATCATTTAGAACATGTACAGGTCATCATCACGAACATCTTAATGCCATACTTTAATATATGTAAATGCCATCATTAAAACATGTCAATGCCATCATTTAGAACATGAAAAGACCATCATTAGGAACATGTAAAAGCCTTCATTT